CACCCTGCCACTAACGTTAAACCCCTTTCCTATTCAATTAAACACATTCAATTTGTATTTATTGTAAAAGCAATTGGGCTATTTTAATCACACTCTCTCTCTCTCTCTCTCTCACACACACACGCACACACACACACACGCACGCACGCACGCACGCACGCTGAACCATGTTGAAAATGTTAAAAAAAGTATGTCTTGAGAACACGGCGTGCGGAAATATACGGGTCGTGCTGCAGCTAGATGTGCCTGTCCTCTGTAAGAAGGTGTCGGCGACTGACATGCAAGGAAGAACGGCTGTCCACAGGCTGTTCCAACTTTAACAACTGTATTAACTTCCAGGGTAGTGAATTGAACATGCAATTGTAATTGGGTGTGTGGTATATTTTCATGCACGGACACGCATGATCCACAACACACAAACTGAACAACACTCAATTTTCCGATCGCTACCAGCGTCCTTGCGATCTTGTTATAATAACAAGTGCACGTTACTGATGCAATATGGTTGAGACCATTCGGGCTTATTCTAGAGGGGTGCAAGGAATAGTCCAAGTAGTGTGGGAGTTTTATAGAATATGTTTAAAACATAAAAATTAAAAGGTTTAAAAAAGTTATTGTTTAATGTTTTAAGGAGGTGACGCTACTCAGCCAATCAAATCGGTGCAGTAAGCATGATAGATTCAAACACACACAGAGACACGACAAGAGGAGAGAAACAGTCGGAGTAATTTCAAATGGCGGAAGGTAGACAGCGAAAACGGAGCATTTAATTACATTTTCTCTTACTGGACCTCTTTGAAATGCAATTGAATACCCCTGCATTATAGCAACAACAATAATAATAATAATAACAGCTATAATAATTGGGAGGGGGGGCGCGGCTGTTATTATGTTCTCTGAGGGGGCTCACCTACCCACAATTTGAAAACCCCACTCTATACAATAAAAATTATGTATCTTCCTTCACAATAAAAGCCCTAGACATTAACATTGCATCATTGCTTAATAGAGCATTTTGCTAAGAGTCACCTCAACAATCTTTTTTCTCTCTTGTAGGAGCCACATACTACTTGGGATTTACTCTCTAGAGGATCTGGAACAAAGGGTTGGCAGCAGGCTTCCCACCATGAATCCCCCCACCTACTGGGAGATCAGCAACAGCACCGGGGTAAGAATGTGTTTCTGGACGATCTGAATACAAGCCCCCCAGAATGGTCCCTAGAATGAGGCAAAAGAATGCACCATAATAAACAGAAAGAGACAAAGGGAGACTGGCTGAAGGGATGTAGGATGGGAGGGATGAAGGGAGTGATGGATGAGGGATGTAGGGAGGTAGGGATGAATGAATGAATATGGGACAAGGGGAGGGTGGGTCATGAGATCTGAGACAAACGAGGCCAGATATATTGACCAGCATAAGTAACTTAGCAATAATTAGAGGTTTGGTTGAGGTGTGGCCATGCTCCTGAACCTAAGTTAAGAAATTAACTTCATCAATAATATAAACAGACATCCAAATAAGGCTGTTTTATATTTCATGTAAAATAAACAGAATGAAACACAGTTATCCTCAGGTGAATTGCAGGCTTAATACATATTTTACATTCTTGGTACTTCATTATTTATGATGTTATATCTGACCTGAGATGATCTCATATAAATGCCTCTTTATAGCTCCGCTTCAATCACAGAGACTCGAGTGTACATGTTGTCATGAAAACCGCCTCAGCAGATCAGACATTAATAACACACAATTTGAACGTTTCTGGTACTGTGTGACACATTTTAAGACTAGTTGAGAGTTAAATAGAAACATGTTTACACAATATTTGTATTCAACTGTTGCTGTTTTGTCTTCCAGGTGATTCGCATTGGAAATGCCTCCATCCGCACGCCCAACTTGCCTGCAATCAATGGCTACATCCACATCATAGACCATGTGAGAGTCTGGAGAGCTAGCAAGCAGAGTAGTGCAAAATACCAGAACACTTCCATTAGGAGAAACGTGCAGCAGTTTAAAAAAGATGCAAATAAAGAAACGATAAACGAAACGCTGCAAATACATAACTCTGCAAGAAGCTCAAAACACAACCAAAACGGGGGCACAACTTATCATTGCGTAGTACATACTGATTGCACAATGTAGCTATGGAATAACGACACCATCGCCTTTCGAATTTGTTCCCTGAAAGTTTCACTTTCAATATGCAATTACAGTATGTGCCATCAGCTACGGTCTCCTGGGGAGATGAAGGCTTTATCTACAGCTCAAAGCTGATGAAAAAAATGCAGTGTGTCCTGTGTCCAATTAAAGTAGCAAGCGCTTGCACCAAAAGTCGCAATAGTCCCAAGATCACCTCATATGCTACATTGCGTATATGCAACTTTAATACGCATGATTTGCTGTGGTTGTGTTGGTGGCACCGATAGAGGGACTGCCTGCACACATGGCAAGATGAGAGGATAGGGACCCCGTGTTTGGTGGCAGAAGAGCTTTGGACTGTGATACCAGCATTGAGAATAAATAACAATAACATATATTTTAATATACTGCTTGCTTTTTCCCTGATGGTCTGAATAAGTTGAAAAGGTGTCTTAGTTGGCTCTCATGAAAAAAGAGGGTGATCGGGTTGTCTTTGGCACAGTAGCGCTAGCGCCAACATTAACTCTTAGAAACTCCAGGGGGAAACGTCTTTTATTGCCAGTCCAACAGGATGAAGGACGAGTAAGTCAAAAATAAATAGTTAAAGACGATCTTTTGAGGGTATAATATCAGTGCTTTCATTTCTTTCAAAACTATCCAATGAACTAAAACATTATTTTTGATTTATTTGAATGTTTGTTTGTTTGTGTTCAGATTCTGGCTCCCAGTCTCTCAGACTTTCCCCCTGAGCCGCCCACCCTGATGGAATTCCTGAACTCCTCCTCAAACTTCACTCTATTCAGGCAGTACGCTCTGGTAAGGAATTATAAAATGTAACTTTATTTCTTTGTTTTTTAGTTTGTTTTAATATTTTTGTTTGTGTGTGTTTTCTCACAGATGTACAATCTGTCACAAAAGCTGCATAGTTGTTGCCAGCGGTTCACCCTCCTGCTGCCCACAGACGATGCCATCAGGCAGCACCTCAGAGCGACTAACTCCTCGCTCATGGTTGGTCCAGATATTACAAACCTCCATTATGGTCAAAATAACACAAAAATGAGCTACAGCATAAATATCCTAACATCTACACTTGGCCTGAGCTCCTCTTGAGGAAAACTTTGAAACAAAAGGGAGAATATATATTTGATTTATTGATAGTGAACACTATAGTATCTCCTCATCTGAATACATACTGTCAACGGGTTCAACTTGATTTCTGCGTTGTAGATTAGCTAGCTGCTAGCTGCAGCCAGGTTACCAGAGATACAGTATACAGTATGAACACATAGATTAATCCTCTAGATTAATAGCTCTGTAATGACAAAAGTCGGTCCAACATTGGCACTATAATACCACTTGTAAAAGCTAATATTTACAATAAGATAAGATAACACTTTGTTAATCCCTGTTAGGAAGTTTAGGTGTCAGAGCAGCTGCAGCAATAAGTTCACACAAGGATAATAAGAATAACATGTAAAAATGTAAGCAGCAGATAAGTGGGATTCTTCTTTAACTCGTCTTTTCTGTCTGTCTTTTTGTGTATCTCTGTATTTGTCCAGGAATCTGATGTGTTTAAGTACCATGTGGTTATCCATTTCCTGCTCTTCCCTCACCATCTGTCTGACGGTATATTAAAAAGTACCATGCTGGGAAACGAATACCAGGTCCAGTTCCACTTGGACAAGAACAACCAGGTAACAAAAGCTGGACCAGAACAAGCATTACAGTCATGGGATCAACCTTCCAGAAGCTTTCTCACACCAGAGTGTCAAAAACTAACATTTTTAAGAACACAGTGCTGCTTTTACATTCAGATTTGAGCTTGATTCACATCCAAGCAGCTAAAAAATGCTGTTAATTTCTATGAAAATCCAACCATCCATCATACTCAAATGTTTTTTCTGCAAATGAATTTCTGCAAGACTGACAGATACATGGAAAGAAAGAAATCAATCTAAAAACTGATTTCATGATACAATTATAATTACAAGTATCTATAATTCATAGTTTATTTGCTTATTAATGCAAACATACATTTATGTTCTTGTACATCTTTAGTCAACTATCCGACATTTGTTTCTTGTCTTCCAGACAGTTGTGAACGATGTTCCTCTTGATGGAACGTTCACTGAGACGCAGTTTGGCCTCATCCTATTCCTCCCTCAGGTCCTCAAAGTCCGTCGCAACAGATGTAGCAAGCAGGTCTACATTCAGGTCGAAGTAAGCCAGAGGGAGTGAAGGATGAATGGAAAGGTGGATGAATGAATAGAAAAGAGTATGGAATGATAGACAGAATGATGGATTTAGGATGGATTAATAAACGGATGGGTGGGTGGTTCCATTAAAAGTTATTTTGAAGCAAAGTGAAAAAGAGCTGGGTGAAGGTGACTAAAGGTCAGAGGTTGAGGTTATTAACAAAAAGTTGCTGTCATCGCTCTGAAACAATTTTGCCAATCACAGAGAAGTAAGGGGCCAAGGCTACACTCTGGCCCAGTTCCAAACCGCCCTCTACACCCTACCCCTCCGTTTGCAGAGGGTGCGCCACATTAAGTGGTGTTCCAAACCAACAAGTGTGGAGGGGGAGTGGGTTACCAGCCCTCCAACAGTGAGTCTGCATCGGTCCTGACTTCACCTGCTGCTCTACCT